TTAGAATGTTAGTAAAATAAACGGGTATTTTATTTAATTTTTCTATTGTTCGCTAATCTCTTTTTTGTTTAGAAAGAATTTTTTAAATGGTTCAAATGTCATTTGCCGTTTAACCCTCTGATTCCGATAGAGTCCTAGAATTTGTGTCCCTTCATTACGGGAGTTTTCTGAAAGCAGTTTCTATGATTGAACTCGTCCAAAACTATCTTCCTGTGAGGGGTTGAGGAGGGGTCATCGTTTTCTCGCAGTTGAGTATTCAAAATCACTCATGCGGCAAAGGAGGGGAATTGTTGACAAATTAGAACATTTACATGAAATATAAGTTTTCCGAAAATAAAAGTTTAGCACCTTATTGGCGATTTTCAAGTAGAGGAGTAATAAATTATACTTTAATTTTTTTCTTTNTTTCACGCTTTAAAATGCAGAATATTAGTGAAGCAATATTTGATAATTTATTTTGCTAATATGTTTCTTATTTAGCTAATGTTTTGATTTTTTCACCATGTACAATCTAAATAGTAAAAATGTAATCAACTTTTTTAAAAGCCAATAAGAACATTGGTAGAATTCTTCTACATAAGTACAATACTATGTCTTTGATAATATATTATGTCTTTGTGCTGGAACATTGTGTTAATTGGCGAGCGAGCGCAGCGAGCCATGTTTCACACCGTGAACCACATAGGATTGCGTAGCAATTCTCGGGGGATGGCGAGCGTTAGCGAACAGGGGGCGGAGCTTCCTAGTAACAAAATAAATGAATATAATATTCATTGTTTAACAGTAATTTTTTAAATGATACATAGTAAGAGGTAACCTAAGTTTTCTAATATATTTAAAATGAATTATAAAAGCAGGGGATTTTGAATTAGACTATAAGGTGAAATGAGCGAACGAAGATTGGGTTCAAAATTACAAGTTTACGGAATTGAACATTAGTAGTTGTAAACCCAGAAAATTGGGTCGGCTGTTCAACGACGATTATAAAAAAATATTTGCAATAGAGGGGCCGTTTAAAATAGCACGTAAGCACCTAAAGCTTTGTAATTTGCATATTTTTGCTTCTGAAAGGGGGATAACTGCTTACGTATAGACTTAGATAAAATAAAAAGCTTTCTGTAAGCAATTGATTAACTTTTTTAAAAAATTAGTTTCAACCCTTTCGTCGTTTCCGCTTTTAGGTAAAATTGGTTTCAAAATTATGTTGTTTTAATTCTTATAAAATTTCATATTGATTCATACCACAGGGATGAGTTAAGGTAAGTAACCAAAAAAGCTAAAAATAAAAATCCTAAAATAGTGTGCAAATGATACGCAAAAAAAAAAAAAAAAAAAAAAAAAAAANAAGGAAATTAAATGATTGAAAAAATACCTGAAATTTGAGCAAGAAAAAATTGTATGTAGGAAGCATTTATCCACACAATGTTATCAACGTTTTAATAAAAATATTTATATATCGAATTTTAATATAATTTATTTATTTATATTTTGTGAATATGAATCTCAATTCGCGATTTTGAAATCCCGCGGATATGGATATTCAATTTTAAAATCGAGCTTTTTCGAAATTCGATGTTTCATTTTTAAAATTGCTTTAACAAGAATCTCGATGTTTCATTTTAAAATCGCGTGTTCACACAAATCGCTGAATTTGATGTAAAATTGTGAAAATACGAAACACAATACGCAATCTTAAATCGTGTAAACACGAATTGCGTTGTATGATTTTAAATCATGTAAATATTATTTTAAATCTCGTCTGCGTAGGAAAATCTGAAGGAAATCGTGTAAAAACGAATCTTTTTTACACATAAAAAATTCCTACAAAATATTCTACTCAAAACTATATAAAATAAATTGAAACTTCAATTTTATTTTGTCCTTTTTTTTAGAGTTACAGTAAAAAAAAATCAAAAGTTAAGCATGAACACAAGGTATGATACTTGGCTTTCTTGGGAAAGTATGGGAAAAGGAATTTTTGATTTACTTGCTTATTTTGGCTATAAAAAAAAAGGTTTTATTTATAAAAAGTGCAATTTTAGGCTTACCTATTACGCGGTTATTGCCATCTAGACAAGTGAAGCACTGTATCTAGCTAATTTATAATTTTTTTTAAACGCTGAATCTAATAAAATCAAAATTAGAATAAGAGTTTTATGCGCAAAAGGATGTATTAATACAGGTAGTATCTGTTATATTTTTACGGTTTAAAGATTCTAAGAACTCTAAATTGATTCAAAGAACAGGTATTCCCATCGGCATGAAAGAGGACTGCTTTGTCTGGAAACGTTCGATTTTTTTTTCCTTGAACCCTCTCTTAAATTTCCTCCGTCACTTCAGCGCACTTATTTAAGGGTGTTTTAAGTGTTCTTTGTAAAACAAAATATTTAAGGTCTTTTTTTTTTTTCTTCTCCTGTCCCTCAATCTATCTTGGCTGGTGGTCCGCGTTAACAACTTGTAAACACACTCTTTAGTCTAATGTAGTGACAAATGACAAAGTGCAACAAGACAGATGACTTACAGATTGAATAGTCGCTTTCCGGCTCTCCGTGTATCGCTTTCCCTTGATGTTTAATTCAGCTGTTATTATAGCTTGGATAGTTTTAAATTCGACTGTTATTATGTTTGGATTTATAATAATTGTAAAATATCCGAATAATTTACTTATATATTTCTTTTATGTGGCATCATAAACTCTAATATTTTTCTATCTATTGGCAACACTTTAATCGTTAATCATTTTGTTACTTTAAACATTTGCTTAGATTCAGTTCGTTAGGTTGTCTTAAGTAATAATTTAAGTACTGTTGAATAGTTGGCTGTACGTTAAGTATTTATTTAGAATAATTTTGTATTTTTATAAGAAAAAGACTTAGTTACGAAGATTTAGAAGATATTATTTAGATTTATTTTTGATCCATTCAAAAATGGCTGTAGAAATTTTAAACATAAACGGTGTCAAGGTGCCACATACTGTCATACAAATTGTTGGTGGTGGAGTTATATTTCTTAGAGCCCTTGGATTATTTCATATTCAGTGTTTACGCTCAGGGCCCGATTTTGTTTATAATAAATTAGGCACTGAGTGCTCGCATGTAAAGATAAAATAAATTTATAATGCAAAGACGTTTTATATTATACTGTATATAAGATATCGTGTCTAAATGTGTTGTATTTTTTTTTTTTTAAGTGTGAGTTGAAACTCGTATAAATAGTGGAGATAAAAATATCAAACGTTGACGTTTTCGTTTAGCTGAATTTCTTAGCTTCTCTTTTTTCGTTTATAGTTTTTGATTAATTTATTAATAAAGCGTTTCTTCAAAAGGTCGATTTTATTATTTTGTTATAAAATTTGAACGCCATAAAAAATTCTTTTATGAAACCCTAATTATAACATTGTTAAATTTTTATTAAACCAGTTAAAAATTGAAAAGCCTTTTTAGATTATAAAAACGCTATGTGAAGTTTTTGCTAGTTTTTAATCCACGCGCGAGACAATGTAAATAGCACTGTAGCTTTCTCTTTTATATGAATCAGATTAATAAAAGTAGTGAAAGTGTTAATTAAAAGTAGTAGTAGTAAGCTAGATGTCTCCTTTTTACTACGTTTTTAATTACTCCCTTTCGTGCCTGCGATGTTTGGAATTTTACGATCGAAATTTCGATCACTTTTCGACTAGTTAGAAATTCAAGCAAGACTTCTGCGCTAGATGACAAAGCATGCTTTAACCCTTTACAAGTAGAATTTATCGTCATATTATCGATCAAGAAAATCGTCCGACAAAATTTCAAGCACTTTCTTTCTAGCTAGAAATGGAGTTCTGCCCTGAACGATAAAGCATATTTTATTCATTACCTGACTACTGCGAGCAGAATTTATCGTTAGATTATCGAAAAATCGTCTATCAAAATTTCGATTACTGTTCTAGAGGTGCTCAAATTTTAAATGGAGCTTTGTACTGAATAACGCTATAAATATCGTTTCCAGACCACTGCAAAGTGGGTTTATATTGCTATTTTATTACTGAATAGAATTTATTGCGAATCGAATTTTCGATTGGTTAAAGTGCTGAAATTCCAACTCGTTCTCTGTGACTGCTGAAAAGTTACTACTATTGTTTTCGAAATGGTGCGAATTGAAGTTTAATACCATGCAAAATTTCGAACCACTTTCCGACATTAACTAAAACGCAGAACTAAAATGAAGTAAAATAATAAGAGTAGTTTTAAAAGCTACGTTTTTTCAGTTTACTGAAAAGGCGAAAATTTTAAAATTTTTGTCTAATATAAAAACGAAAAATATAGGGCATTTCGAAAAATATTGGGCATTATTTCATTTTCATAATTATTATTATACAAATAAATTACCATTATAGAGGGTGCGTAGTGTTTTTAAAAAGTGCTTAAAGGTGCTTATTTCTGATTTACATTTTTTAAAAACACTTTAAGGCGCATTTTTTATTCATGGTTTGTAAAAAGTGCTTAATTTTCTATCTTTTAAAAAGAGATTTTTTCATTGCCGTGTCGATTGTCGTTCTAAATTACAAAAAATGTATGATTTTCACAATTTTCTCTGCAATATATATCAGAAACTAGTTATTTTATCATGATTTTGTAAAAAATTTTTTTGAATTTTGTTGATTTTGTGTTCATAAATTAAGAATTTTAAACGATAAAATTTTTTTTTTTTTTTATTACTGCTCAAATCCTAATTCTGACTTTTTTTTTTTGGAAAGTGATTAAAATATTTTTTGAGTGTTTAAAAAATATTTAAAAGGTGCTTATTTTTTGTTGAAAAACCTGGCTACACACCCTGTTATATTACCGAAATTTTTCGAACAAGATGCACTGTACGTTTTTCGCTTTAGTAAAAGCAATTAATTTCTGAAACTAATTTTTTTTTTTAGTCTACGTGAAAAATGTAGTTTTTACAAGTTTTACTATGTTTTATTTTACTTTTACATGTTGTGATTTTGCTAATTCTATTTTCTTTCCTTATAGATTGTAGACTATGATAGACTATTGATATTAACTGTTGGGAACTGACTATTTCATGGATCCCTGCAAATTCCTTCCATTTTTATTTTATTGCATAGCAGCTGTTCTAAGAGCTGTTTTGGCTGCCAAGGATCAGAGTGCTTTTCATTCAGACCTACCCAACAGTTACCAACAGTAAGTACATTTTTGGAACATCTGTTTGAAATAAATGTCATCGTTTGCTAAATTATTAGCAACAGGTTCAGTTAAAGTTAAGAATAACCGTGATAAGAAAGGTAGAAATTAATCAAACGTCGAATGACCTTGAGATTTAATGCATTTCATTCAGTGTTATTGGTAATAGAATAATTCGTTTCACGAATGAAATTTATTAATATTTGCAAAAGATTTTAATTAATTATTTTCTTTTCTTAACTTTTGAGAATCTACAGGTGACCCTCTAGAGTTATGACCTGAGTTTTATATTAGATATAAGTTAATTTTTTAATATTGATGATCTATTGCATATATTTTAATGTATATCGGATGAAAATTAAGTATCTAGTGTTCGCTGAACATGTCACTTAAGGGTAATGCCCTGTCTTTAAGTTAAGACTTATTTAAGAAGATATTTGAGCGTCAACGTTACTAAAGTTAAGGAAAATATTATCTTATTTGTATCCAATGTTAAATGCAAGCTTTGTGCGTGGCATATTTTAATAATAGAGATATTTTGCAAATTTACGTAAGATTTTAAGCAACTGCGTATTGGATTGCTTGTTTTTTCTAAAATTTTACGTTTTGTTGGCATGGTTTTACAAGTCTAGCGAGTGTTATTCATAGTTGTCGAATGTTTTACGTTTAAGCCTATCTTTGAATTAAAAACATGGACAAGTTGCAAATAGATTAAGAAGAATGCCAGCACATAATAAAGATGGATGATTCGTTATTACAAATTAGTCGTGTTATTTAGTAAAAAATAAGTTGGTTGATTTAATAAAAAATAAACTTGATTGGTTTTAGATTAAAATTATAGTTGTCTAATTGTACTGGTCCGTAAGAAATTAATTATTTTTTCGTTATTTATATAATTTATTCGTTTTAATTACGCAATTTATTTGGAAAAAGCTTAATTTCCATAATTTCTACACCCATGGTAAATGCTTGTTTTGATTTTATGGACTAAGTAAAGATAATATTCTACTACGCTGGTACTTATAACTTACGGGTTTATGCAAAATCTCTTATTTTCATTCACGTATATTTGATATTTTTTCATGGACTCATACGAATTTTAGCAGGATTGACTCATGCGCACTTTGCAATCTTGCAAATCTTACGTACGGTGGTAGCATGCGGAATGTAAAAGTGCGAAATTTTCCTAATATTTTCAATAAGAATATGTAACTTACCGAATTACTGATACTAAATTAATTATATGCTATAAGATTCTGTGTGTATTATTTTTTACATATCGAAATATATTTTTCAAACATCGAAAAGTTGTTTTCTTAATTTTTTAAAATTATTTTATTAAAAATTAACGAATAATACAAGAAAATTATTAATGTGATATTGTCTGTTTGTATAAATCACTAGCGACATTTTATTAATTATTTTTTTTATTCAAAAAACAACAGTTATTTTTACGAAGTTTCTATGTTAGTTAGTTAATTTAAGTTAGTGATAGTAAATTTATGTTATAGGAAATTAGGGTTTTAAAACTCAGTTTATCTTTTAGAGTTCTAAATACGAAGACATCGCCTGAAAAGATGCAAAATATAATATATCCAGCCACCCCGACATCAAAATTCGGTAATACATCGGATAATTAGTCGAAAAAGCGCGAAATACTTCGATTAGTTGTTAGATTTGATTGACCATTAAAAAGGCTTTTTTTTTTTTTTTTTTTTTTTTTTTTTTTTTTTTTTTTTTTTTTTTTTTTTTTTTTNCAAAATGGTTGTATCCAAACTTTGGATACAAACATTTCGAGCTATGTTCAGAGGAAAAATTTTCTCCTTTATTCCATTTTCACTTTTTTTAATCTACTGGAAAATCGCAGTTTCGAATTTATTTTTATTTCATTAACTTTCACTTTTTTAATCTGAGCAAAATGGTTGCATCCAAACTTTGGATACAAACATGAACTATGTTCAAAGTAAAAATTTTCTCCATAATTCCATTTTTCTCTTTTTTTAATCTACTGGAAAATCAAATCATAGTTTCGAATTATTTTTTATTTCATTTCATTAAGTTTATTGCTAAAAATGGCACTATCCAAACAAAATGGTTGTATCCAAACTTGGGATACAAACATTTCGAGCTATGTTCAGAGGAAAAATTTTCTCCTTTATTCCATTTTCACTTTTTTAATCTGAGCAAAATGGTTGTATCCAAACATGAACTATGTTCAGAGTAAAAATTTTCTCCATAATTCCATTTTCTCTTTTTTTTTTAATCTACTGGAAAATCAAATCATAGTTTCGAATTTATTTCATTTCATTAAGTTAATTGATAAAAATGGCACTGAAGAAAACGGTTGTATCCAAACTTCGCATACAAACAAATCGAGCTATGTTTAGAGTACAGATTTCGCTTTTATTCCATTTTCTCTTTTTTTAATCTTCTGGAAAAATCGTAGTTTTGAATTTATTTTTATTTCATTTCATTAAATTTATTGCTAAAAATTACACTGAGCAAAATGGTTGTTTCCAAACTTTATGGTAACTGGGGACTGATTTCTCTCAGAACGATAGGTGGCCTTTTTTTTAAAAAAAGTTTTTATCTTTCTGAGGAGTCTAAACTAGTATATGGTTACTTTTTTGTTAAAGGGACTGCCTTTTCTCACTGCATTCTTTTAATTCCATACAATCATGCCTGGGGCATTTCCCGATATTTCCGCGTGGGAATTTTTGAGTAAAATAGTAGGGTGGATAGGCATACCTGAAGGGTCACTTATGAATGAAAAAGGGAGTGGTAAAGTGAGGGGTACCACTTAACAATAGGGTAATGAGTGGGGTTTTGAAACCCAGGTGTCATTCATTCTCTAGGACTGAATCTAGGGTTCCTTTGAGATTCTAAATTGTTTTATAAACTGGAGGGGTAGAATATTCTGAAAAATGCAGATCTTTGTTAGTTATTTCATTTAGAATTCTGTTTAGGCCCTATTTCCAATTCTCTAACGTCATATAATTTTTTTTTTTTTAAATGATTATCTGAATTCTTTGGTTAGAAAAACTTTTTTTTTTAAGTTGAACACAACTATTTTTTTAAACGTAGTAATTGCCACAGCTATCGAAATATGGTCAATATTTAGCTACTTTTAGGAGACTGGATTTTGCTGGAGTATTATTATTTATACTCATGCTTAAAAATAATTTTTAGGAAAAGAAATAAAACCTGCGTTGCAGTGCTAAATTTTTTTTTTCCATCCTGAAACGCAATTCACCAGGTGTGGTTAGGGACATGAATAAATAAAAATTTAGATGTAAATATTGTTGCGTGTTTCGTTTTCTATCCAATACGGAGAATAATTCTAAATTAAACAATTAAAAAAAAACTTTTCTGTGATTTTGCACGAGAAAATAAAAATAAAATATTGGGTGTAACTTCGAGTTGATATAGTCTCAGTTAATTTTCCAGATATTATGCATTCTCTATACAGAGTTTTTCCTAAAATGGGTAAGAATTTCATAATAAAATAGTTCTAAGGCGGCGTTCCGGTTAGCAGAAAAGTACCAGAACGTCTCAGTTAATTTTCCAGATATTATGCAATTTCTATGCAGAGTTTTGCCTAAAATGTGTTGTAAGAATTTCATAATAAAATAGTTCTGAGTCGGCGTTCCGGTTAGCAGAAAAGTACCAGAACGTCTCAGTTAATTTTCCAGATATTATGCAATTTCTATGCAGAGTTTTTCCTAAAATGTGTTGTAAGAATTTCTTATAAAATAGTTCTGAGGCGGCGTTCCGGTTAGCAGAAAAGTACCAGAACGCCGTACTGGTGGTGCGTACCAGCTTCATTACATCTGTGAAAGAAAATGTAAGAAAATATTTTTAAAATGGTTTCGAACAGTAATTTGATTATTTGATCATTAAGAAGTAATTTTTGTTTGCATGAGCCAATTTATTGTTCTAAACAATTTTTTTTAAATTTCAAAATTAAACTTTTTATGCTTTATTTTGCTAATTATTTTGCTTTGCTTTTATTATTTTAAAAAAAGGACCACCCTGAATAACTTTTGATTTAATGATCGGATCTTCAGATATATTTTCTCTGAATAAACATACCTTCCTTTCAACGTATTCGGATTTATGATGCTCTAAATGTGTATGTGGGGTACCTGTATTTTGGGAAATAGTATGGTTAGCTTGATTAGGAGAGTGGACCAGAGTTTGGACTCCTTAATGTTAATTTGACTTTTTGCATATTTCGCCATATCTCGAGAACCTTTTAAGCCAATTGAAAAAAAATTTTTTGCACGTAATTATAAAATTCGTTTATCCTAACTCGTAATAACTTTTAGTAAATATTTATTATTTTTTATCATTTTATTTAATAATACAATGTTTTACATCATTTTATAGAATTTCAATTTCAAATGGCCAACTGCAAAATTTGAGCGAAATTGCTCGAGTAGTCAGAGCTGAAATTTAAAAATAAAACTTTCAATAAACTTCGAAAATAAAAATTTGATTTTTCAGGAATTATTCGACGATTTTGCTCAAACTTTGTATTTTGTCATTTTAAAACTGCATTCTTTAAAATGATGTAAAAAATTGCATAAAAAAATGATAAATATATGCTAAAAATTATTTTTTTGTATAGAATTAACTTTGGATAAACGAATTTTATATAAGTATGTATATTAATATTAACAGAGCCCAGATTTGGTCCACTCTTCTAACCTAACTAACTATTGGGATCATATTTCCCAGATTTTATTTTATTTTCTAACCGTCGTTGAACAGTCCACCTAATTTTATGGGCTTACAACTACCAATGTTCAACTCCGTATCCTTGTAATTTTGAACCCAATCCAGAAGACAAGGGAACTCGCGTTACATGGAGAGGAAGACCACGAGAATCTCTCACGGTTAGCCTGACGGCAAGGGGACTAATCCGTCTAAAAAAAAGTTATCTTTATACAGAGAAAATATTTTTTTGTGTCTTTTTCGTTACTTAAAATATCGCCTGCACAAATTAATTAGTATAGAGGTTATTCCTTCAAATTATTGTGATTAGATTGAGTCCTAGAACGTGATGATTAGGTCAAAAGTTAATCAGGGTGATCCGGTTTCTAGTTTGCGCCCTGTACGCCGAGAGTTGGAGTAGAAATGTATTCCCCTGATGGACTGACGGAAGATTTGTAGAAATCAGATTTGGAAAATTAGTTGGGGTTGAACATTGTTTCGTTATTAAACTTAGGTTAATAGTTGTTGCAAACCAGTTGTTATTGACATCGCATTTCCTCTTAACTACTTCCCCCAAAAAAAAGAAGAAAAAAAAAAGGTAACGCATTGCATTTCAATTTATGAAAAAAAGTAGCGACGACAGCAGTTTCGTTACTTGTAGCGCGAGTTCCGATCATCTAATTAAAAGGAAAAAGATCAAAGCTGCTATATTATAGCGTTTACAAAATTTTAGAAAATTAGAACACAAATCAAGCAAAAAAAAAAAAAAAAAACNAAAAACAAAAAAAAAAAAAAAAAAAACACTTTATCAAGAGACACACTGTCTGCTAACATATAGGAGCCTTTCTGTCATCAGTAGCAATACCAAAGACTGACTGTGCCTGGAGTCCCTATAATAGATAAACTAAATAAGAAAAAGCAATAAAAAATTTAAAGATGGAAATGCAAATGCAATGAAAATTTAATGATATACACAAATGCAAGTCAAAAGAACACAGATAAAAAAAAAGATAAAAAAACTAGTAATGAAACTCCCACATATAAAGAAAATAAAGATTAAGTTACAGTTAGAATAACGAAATCAAATTTTTGAATTTTGATTTGTAATTTTTGACAGAAAGGCTCCTGTATGTTAGCAGACAGTGTGTGTCCTGATAGAGTGTTGTTTTTGCTGACATGCATATCTTTAAAAAAAATTTTTTTTCGATTTGTGTTTCTAACTTTCTAAATTGTTTAAATGAGACAAATTTGGTTTTAGCTGCTTTTAACGCTTTTTCATTTTAAATCTTATATTCTTATTTTGCCTTTTTCTTATCTTAGCTTGCTTAAATCAGTTTCATTCTTTGATTGGATAGCGTTTACAAAATTTAACAAATACTTAAAACCTCAAACATTAAAATTTGATAACAAAGCTCCTTAAGATGTGTTTTAATAAATAAAGTTGAACAAAAAATGTTCCAGAATATTCTTTAATGCCCGTATAAAATGGGAATTAGTATTCATATGATTCTCTCCATTAGTTATTATGGGGAGACAGAAGAAAAACTGAATTTGATTTCAGGGCACTCTTAAATTTAATTAAAGCTGTTAGCTAAAACAAAAAACTATCGAGTACAGCTATGAATCAATTGGCATGACTAATATATTTTATTTTTGTGGCTTGTCCTTTTTACCTAAATAAGCTTTAATTGTTACTGTTTACTTTAAAATGGATTTTTAAAAAAACATTAATTTATTCTCATATTTGGTATTTTATAGTGGGCTTCATCATGACTATGATACATCAAGATATTCTTCTAGGAATGGATATCCAAGGAAGGATGTTCGCACAAGAAAACTTCCACAGCTACTTAGAGATAAGAAACCCAACATAATTCTTGTTCTCACTGATGATCAAGATATTGAATTAGGTTAGTATTTAATGTAGTTTATACCACGNTTGACGTGACGGTTTAAACCATGGTTTAAACTGTCAAAAACTGTCACATGTCAAAAACCTGCCAACCCTGCCACGGATACCCAACAATTTTTTGCACAAATGCTGGAATTGACAATTTTATGCAGATAACAAGTAGGGGCAATTCGGTTGTGTTGGATGTAAAAAAATGAACATAAATTTCTTAGAAAAATTCTTTCATAAAACATAAGTTTATAATCACGATTTTTTTTTATCGGATATCGAAAAACAATTTGTTTTATAAAAACTGATTATAGTAAGTTCAAATTATATGGATTAAATTGTCGGCGTTGGACGTAAATCATACGAAAGTAAAGAAAATTATTACTCATTGCAAATTGTCTAAAATCTGTGAATTTGTTTATAATTTAAATGTAAACTTGACTGAAATTTGAAGCTGACCTTTGAGTAATGTATTTTATGCTGTTAACTTGCAAAATATGAAGCAAATATTAAGGACAGACGTGCACGACGTCCCTAGGCATTCACGGCTACATTTCTGGGCATGGGTTCCTATGCAATTTTGATCTTGATAATGTGCCCCAAATCCCCTTGAAGTTTTTTTTACAACATTTCCTATTTGAGCCGTGATGGCTCAGAGGATAGAACATTCGCCCTCCAATGAGGTGGAGCAGGTTTGAATTTCAGTTTATATGAATTACGCATGGGTTAGTCTCCTCGCCGACAGGCTAACCGTGGGAGGCTCTCGCGGTCTTCCTCTCCATGTAGCACAAATGCTGGTTAGTTCCATCAAAAAGTCCCACACGAAGGGATATTTCTCCCAATACTTGATCCTGGAGTTCCCTTGTCTTCTGGATTGGGTTCAAAATTACAAGACTACGTAGTTGAACCGTAGTAGTCATAAACCCAAAAATTGGGTTGGCTGTTCAACGACGGTTATAAAATATAAAATAAAAGCATTTCTTATTTAATAAAACGTTTTTAATCTTATAAATTTTGAGGTTTAAAAATAGAAAAAATGCAATTTAGAAAATAAAAAAAAGCTAGCTTTAGGAGCAAAACTTAATTTCAATTTTGAAATCCCCACATCCAAATCAGGCAAGTCCAAGTATTTGTACAAAAGCAGCAATAAGTGTGTTCTCCAATGCTAGCTAAAATAGTTTTTTTTTCTTCCAATTTGCTTCAAATAATCGAGTTTAACTGTATTTTACTTTTATAATTTATTCTTAAACAATATTTTCTGTTTCAGGTTCCATGAACTTCATGCCAAAGACACTTAGAATTTTAGGTGATGGTGGGGCTCATTTTTCGAACGCTTATGTCACAACGCCCATGTGTTGCCCCTCCAGAAGCTCACTTTTAACAGGTTTATATGTACACAATCATCAAGTGCACACCAACAACGATAATTGTAGTTCTCCCTGGTGGCAGCAAGAACATGAAACTAGAACTTTTGCTACCTATTTAAATAATGCTGGCTATAGAACTGGTACACGTTTTTTTTCTTCTTTTTTTAAGTAATATATTATGTTAAAATTTTTATAAATGATATAACCTTTTTAGTGTACTTATATGATTAAAAAGCAAAATTTTATCATGGGCCAGTTGCATAATGTGATTTTATTAAAAATTAGTTTGTGTTTATTTATTTAATTCAGCTTCTTAAAACTAAATCAGCTTATTTATCTGTTGCATCTAAGGCTCAATGATTATTTTATTAACCCTTTGATGCATAACTTTTATTAAACACGTTTTTCATTATTTTGTATTAGTTTTGGTCAAAATAAGTGAAGAATATTAAATTTAGCATTTTAATAATTTATGATTATGAAATGCAGCTTAAAACACCTGTGCTCTTTTTCTGCGTTAAAGGTGAAATCTTCTAAATAAGACTCACTTCCAAGCAATTTTCAAGTTTGCAATTATTTAGATATCTAAGAAAAAGAGTTACTCATCATCTAAATTTCTTTAATTTTCAAAATCAATTATTGATAAAGTTTTGAATTAAAAATAGAAGGGAAAAAATTCAAATACTTTTTTTGGATTCTATATTTTAGTTCAAATATAATTCCAGTAATCCTACAGATTTTTTTTATAAAACTATTAGACTGTTTTTTTTTCATAAATAAGAAAAAACAAAAATATTTTTACTTGTAATTAGAGCATCCGAAAAAATACATGAGACTAGTGTCCCATCTGCATTGAAGCGTAAATTAACAAAGAAAATGGATAATTATTTATTGACTGTTTCTTCAATGCCTGTAAAATCACATGTCTATTAAAAAATTTTACTGGAATTGCTTTCAAATTTCTGGATTATGCTTTGTTATGGTTGCAGTTCTTAGTTTCATGCATTTTATATGTGTTTGATTGTAACTTATATTTTTATTTGTATATTTATTTTTTTAAAAACTTTTATTGACACCTTATGGTTCAATTTTTTTTTATATCTTGTGATTGCTTGCGGTTTTGAAGAGTGAAGTTTGTAAAGCAGAAAAATGTATTTTGCTTATAAGAATGTAATCTTCTACTTAAAAATTTTAGTGGATTTTATTTCAGTTATTTGAAGCAAAGTTTTAAATCAGACAATTATTTCCGTACTGAAGTAGTAGTATTTATTTTGCAATTGAATTTCAAACAAAATTCTCTATACTATCAGGGTTTCCACTCAACAGGGAGAATAGGGAAATTCTGGAAAATACAGGGAATTTAAAAATCACCTAAAATAACAGGGAAAATGCAGAGAATTAGAAATTTTTCCTTACAAACTAGAATAAAACAGGGAACTTTATTTCCTATTTTTGTCTTTTAAAAAAGGCAAATCTCTCAAAGTGCAATCTATGGGATATTTAAAGATGATAGTTTAGCTATATTATATTATTTAATTTATTATTGCATTATTTGTTTTATGTTGAGCTGTTTCTTATTTCTTCAAGTTTTTTCAGCAATTAAAACTAGCGTCTTTATCTTAATATAGCTCACACAAGAGTGCAGTGATTTTGTGTTTCCTCTTAATATATTGTGTATAATATGTGCAGGGGAAACACGGGGATTTTTTTTTACAGATATGAGTGGTAACCCTGACTATGTTTATGAAAAAACCCATCTTTGATTCTAACTACTTTTTATTTTTTGCAGCCTATTTTGGAAAATATCTAAATGAATATAATGGCTCCTATATCCCACCTGGTTGGCGAGAATGGGTTGGACTAATTCGCAACTCTCGATTTTACAACTATTCCATAAATGTGAACGGGAATAAAATAAAACATGGAGACAATTACTTTAAAGATTACTATCCTGATCTTATTGCTAATGATAGCATCAGTTTCTTACGTAGATCAAAGAGGTAAAATTAAGGTCACTAATATTTTATGTTTTAAAATGTTTTTGTATTTTAAACTACATTATTTTCTTCTAGTGCTCTAAATTTTTTATTTATTGATTGTTTGATTGCTGAAGTGGTTGGAATATATTTATGTCTATTGTATGCATATATATATATGCGTATATATCTTTTGTGTGCATTATATGCTTATTTAAGTGATTTATCTTTTGTATAAAACTTCATAGGGTAGAAAAATTTAAAACAAAATTTTAGTTAACGGACTCTTGACAAATTGTGATTATCATAGGCATGGGTATCGAAGTCTGCTTTTTCACTGTATTTTCAAAAGTTTTAAATGGCTATTAGAACAGGCTGCGTAGCACTTTTAAAAAGTGCTTAGCACTATTTTTTTTTATCAATTAATTTTATTTTTCAAGCACTTTTTTTGGTCACCATGTATTTGTTTTGTGTATTATTTTGATTCAAAGTTGCAAGATAATTTGAAGCTTCTTGTTTAGATTTTTTTTCATTGTATAACTCCCTTCATGTGCAGATATAGTTTTAACATGTAAAAATATGGTTTGAGATGGTGGAGCTTGGAATAAAATGTTACATTGCTTACAATTGCAGTAATATAAAGCAAGAAATATCTCAGTGAAAGTTGGATGCAACGCAGCATTAAACATTTCACATTATAAGTTTAATAAGGGTCACAAAAGAAAGAATAACATCACAGAAAAGTAAATTAATGACTTACAATTGTTTAAATAAAACTTTTCAATTAACTAGCTCAATCCTCATTTGATATGGATTTCACAAAAAACTTGAATGGTTTAAAAAAGAGATTCTTAATTATTTTTTTAACAAATGCATTGCTTATCTGAAAATAGAATTTTCGATTTTTTTTATTTACCTTTTTGGGGTTTTATTTTATATTATTAAAATCTGTTTTATAGCTTAATCTGAAACAGAGAACTACATGTTTGGTCGCAACATGCTTAAAATGTTTATAATAAAGGCTCAGAACAGTGATACTTCAATTACTACTTTCACCTTTGTAATTATTATCAATATAATTGTTAGTGCAACTTGCTCATTCATTTTATATATAATTTCAGACATTTTATGAATAAACCTGTAATGATGGTTTTATCATTTCCTTCACCTCACGGACCAGAGGATGCAGCTCCTCAGTTTCAAAATCTTTTTATGAATGTTACCACCCACAGGTAATTAGAAATTCTTTAAATCTTGATCAGTCTGTTTTAGTAAAATTTTATAACATATAGTTGGGAAACATTTTTGATGGCTCTTTTATACCAATATATGTATACATATATATACCATTCCTTATTTCATTGTTTTGTCCGTATTTAATTAAATTAATAAATGTCTTTCCTTTGAATCCTAAAAAGGCAAGCAAATTCATCTCAAAAATGGAATGGGAATCCTGAGTCTAAAAAAATTCTTTAATCTGTATTATTTTCCATGTTTCCTTTATATTATGTATATATATTAAATTTAAGCTGTTTACCCGTAAATTTTTTTTTTAAAATTCAAAATAGCTTATTTAACACTTATCTTCAACTGTCTAAAACTAACGTAATTGGAAAATTATGGTCACTCAAAATTCTCAATTTTTGAATAAATTTTAATCGGACTTCTCTGTTCTGGTTAGCAACACAAGTTTCAATTATTTCCTTTCCACTACAAATAGAATTTATCTCCAATTACAGTTTATCAGCATTTGAAATTTTAACCACTTTCTGTCTAGCTAGAGTGCTAAGTTCAACTGGAGCTGTGTGCTTCATGACAATGCAAGTTGCAATTGTTTCTTAAATGTTTTTAGCAAAATTTATCCTAAATCCTAATTTCACCACTTTTCAACATAAGCGAACTAACAGACGCAAAATAAAAGGAAGAAAATATTATTAAATATAAATTTAAAAAACCAAGAACTATAACTACAGAAATATCAAACATTCCAAGAAACTTAGTATTGCATAGCGAAGGCTAAAAATTCTTTAGATACTAGCGGCTAGAATTCTGGAATAATTTTGAGACTAAAACAAAATAGTCAGTAAATACTATTCTGCAGAAAGTTTTTTTTTATTTACATCATAAACTGATAATACTAAAGAAAATATCACTTTATGTCTTGCTTCATAATGAATCGTTTTATATTGTTATTTTCTGAGTGGTTATTTTGTGTATTTCAAATTTAAAATCATCAAATCGATTCTGTTAATTTAATGTAAATTTTTTTTCTTCTGACATTCCTTTTTATTTTTTTCTAACACTCCTATTTTTTTACTATTTTCTGAAAAATCTGATTCCTGTCCCTGAGTGATATTCTCAACAGCAAGTATTTTTAGTATGTTGGATTTGTTTCATAGAATTCGTATTGAAATAAAATAATAAAAAAAAATTAAATTTCTATTTTAGAACTCCTAATTGGAACTTTGCACCAAATCCAGACAAGCAATGGCTTCTTCGTCACACGGGAAAGATGGAGCCGATACATGTCAAATTTACTGATACTCTGCACACTAAGCGGCTACAAACTCTACAGTCTGTTGATGATGCTGTTGAAAAGGTTACTTTCTATGTTGTATTAACACTGTTTGTTCAGTAATTATAATCTCAATTTACTTAAGCGCAATCCAAGTAGTTAATAATTTTAGCACATATTATAACAGCAAAATCCAGTTAATCAAAAAGTTGGGTCAAAATATGATGTTAAAAATCAACTGGATGTGATTTATAATCATGTAAAGGTGATCTGTAATTTAGTATAAAAAAAGCTAAGATTAAAAAGCTTTGTATATCTGACATCGTGCCTCATTATAGATGCCAAAGATTTTTGATACATTGTAGCTTAGAGGGTTCCCCACAGGAAGAAATTAAGGCTTGATTAATAGTGTGAGCCAGGGAATTGGTTCATCACACCAACGCTCTCGTGAACAGAAGCACCTAAAAGTGTCCGGTGTGCCAAAATGGACCATTCTGAATAGCTTTTAATCTAATGATCGGATCTTCATGTTCTAGGACTCATTCTTAATGGTTTGAGGGGGTGACCTCAAATATACTAAAAAATTAATGCAGACTATATTTTAAGTTATGATATTAGACACAAAAAATTTAAACATACCTTTTTTTTTTTTTGGGATTCGGATTCCTGAATCTCAAATTAAAGGGGTTTGCGCGATCTGGGAAATATGGTCCCAATAATTTGGTCAGGAGAGTGCTCCAATGTTTGGACCCCTTATTGTCACATTTTACTTTTTCATATTTCACTATATTTCGAGAACTTTTTTAAGGGAATTTTAAAAAAATTTGCGCACAATTATAAATTAGTTTGTCCAAAGAAAATTCCATGCAAAAAGTAACTTTTAGTAAATGTTAATTATTTTATTTAAGAATAGTGGAAAAATTTTTAGTGGAATTCGATTTCTCCGGAACTGTTCCACCAATTTCGCTCAAATTTTGTATTTTATAAAATTACATTCTTTAAAATGATGCAAAAATATAGTACTATTCAAATTTTTTTTGACCATTCTTAAATAAAATAATAAATATTTACTAAAAATTATATTTTGCATGAAATTATCTTTGGATAAACGAATTTTATAATTGTGTGCGAAACTTTTTCAATTTGGTTAAAAAGTTCTCAAGATAAAGCAAAATATGCAAAAAGGAAAATTAACATTAAGGGGTCCAAATTTTGGAGCGCTCGTCTGACCAAACTATTGGGATCATATTTCCCAGATTGCGTCTGCCCCCATTATTTTGGCAGTCAGAAATTCGAACACGCCAAAAAAAAAGGTGTGTTCATTCAGTGATTATTATTTACAAAGGCATATTATTACTATTTGTGTCTGATTTCGTAACTTTAAATATTCCCTGCATTTATCAATTAGCACGAGATCACCCACTCGAGCCATTAATAATGAGTCCTAAAATGTGTAAATCCGATCATCAGACCAAAAGTTATTCAGGATGGTCCATTTTCTTTTTTGCACACTATACATGGACATTACCTGTTATTGTCTGCATTACAGTTCTCAATCCTTATGACTTGCCCTACGACCCTAAATTTAGCCTCTACATTTTTGTCACATCTTATGTTTACATATCAGTGATTTTGTTTAAGTGCTGTAACACATTAAATCATAGATGGAACACACATAAAAAATTTTTGCCCATGCCCTAGAACAAAATAATAATAAAGATAAATAAAGGAGGCGACCACCACATATTAATCTCAATCTCTCATAAGCAAAATTATACCAAACTTAAAAATCTATTACTGATTCAGTTACTAATTATATATTCTTATATTTTCTAATCTTTAAATATTTAATTTTCATGCATATTTTTAAAATAGGGAACAAAATTATATTACATATTTATATTAGAGACTCCACTTTTTGTTCCCAAATCTAGCGGAATATTTCCATGTAAGCATTCTCTTATCTCAGAATATTGAATTTACTTCAGATTAACTGGAATTCAACAAGAACTTTTGAATACTTTGAATTAAATTTATATTACTGAATTACAAATTGCCACAAACATTGCAAAATTACATAATGATATTCATCACAAATATCCTCATGATATTTATTGGAAATTACCAAATTTTTGTGCAATTAAAAATTTTGCCTGTCAATCTTCAATTGTAAATGTAAATTCTAAAAAATTCATTTGTTGTAATTAACAGATGGTTTTTTTTTTATTATGTTATTGTGGTGTTATTTTCTGTTATTGAATTTTGTAAGTGCTACTTTTTCATGTATTAAGTAGTGTTATTATTTGAATAAAGCTATAATTTATTATTAGTTTTATCCTAAAAGCTCTACAGAGAGTTACGCTTGCTGGGAGAGCTAGACAATACCTACATCTTCTACACATCAGATCATGGTTATCATCTTGGTCAGTTTGGATTGGTGAAAGGAAAATCCATGCCATTTGAATTTGATGTCAGAGTCCCTTTTTTTGTACGTGGGCCAACAGTGCCTCGTGGTGTCAGGTAAAAGTATTATTTATCTTAAATCATGTACAACTAATAACAAATTATTTATGTTTTTAAAGAGGTATTCCAATTAATACTTAAGTGTTTGACATGACTTAGAAATTTTAAATTTATGTTCGTTCCTCAGATAATATTTGTACATAAGATGGTATCTTAGTGTAATATTGACTGTGGTTATTATTACATCGTCCCACACATTTGTAAGTTAGGAAAAATTTTTTTAAAGTAACACTATCATAAGTATACATATTTTTTTGATAATTAGCTTTGCTTAAAAATTGTTATATTATTTTTTTTCAAATTGGCAGCCCATGAAGATGTCTTACAAAACAAGTGTTCAACAAAAAGATCTTATTGAAGATAGAGCAAAAATTTATTAATCTTTAAATCTACAATTCTTTTTTTTCTTCATATAATTGTCTTAAACTAATTTATTTAACTTAACTATTAACTTTAATAAACTTAAAATATTTTGCAGCAAAAAGAGAATTATAAAATTAAACGAATTGATATTAATTTCAGGCTTCAAGATATTGTTTTAAATCTTGACCTTGCTCCAACATTTTTGGACATTGCTGGTGTAGAGGTGCCTGACCATATGGATGGCCGTTCAATTTTGCCTCTTTTAAAGGATGCAGATACTTGGGCTAGGTAAGTTGAATCCCAAATATTTTTTATAAAACAAGGATTTTTAGATTCTATTTAAAATACACATAAAAATGCATAATATTGTAATTGTGTCTAATAATATTATCTTGTAATTTTGAGATTATTTATTTTTTTTGTGCCTGTTATTTAATACTCTTAAAGCTAATAACTAATTGTTTAAAAATGAATCAAATAAATATATTAATGCCTGTATTTTTTTGTATGATTTATAAGATACGATAAAAATAAATTTTAAAATGATTCCTAATTGACAACAAGTTTTTTTCATTACATGTATTGAGATATTTCTAAACTACTGTTAACCAACCATGTAGATTCTTTTACTACTATTTTTCACACATATCATGTTGCTAAAGTCATTTTGCTCTTGAACCTGGTTAGTTAACTACAAATGTGAATGACAATAAGTTGCATTCAAAAGTTAAGTTCAATTCAGAAATCTTTACGTTTCTGGGTTGTCCTAATTATCTTACATGTTAAGTTATTGTGTGAAAATTTGATAATAATTATATGTTAAAAATATAATTATAAGTCAAAAATTATAAATTAATAATTAGTGTGAGAAAAAACCAAGTGATCTTTCTGGAAAAGCACAGAATTTTGAGTTTAGAAACATGTTATTTTTGTTCAGCTGCACGTATAGAGCCTAATTTTTTTCCAGCTAAGTTATTTAATTGGATGTGTAGAATTAAAGGGGAAAAGTGCTTCATAAATAACTTTCAGCTGTTGTTTTGCTTTCTAAGGTTGATACAATAATATTAACAATAAATAATCACTACAATAAAATATTCACAAAACTCACACTTTAAAACCTTCTTCTAAGTACTTTGATTGTAAACTACTCAAATTGTTGTCAAAGAAAAACAAATTGAAAGATTTTAATAGTTAAAAGCGTCTTTACATAATGTGGGAAGCGAGGTTATTGACAATGTCAACATTCATCTATGAAAAGGTACTCCGGCATAGAATCAAGTTAGCATGTCTTATATAATAGGGTATTGGCATTGTTATTTTGTAGTGGTAGACGTACTACAGTACTCCCCCACCAGAATTATAGCTGTGATAGAATTCAATGAATAGTTGATTCATTGCTGTTTTGTGAAAGGCTTTGAGAGCAGTATTAAGAACACTGTACTTTTGAGTGCTGATCATGAGAACTGTATTAAGTTCACGGTCGTGGTTGCTCCTGTGTTGCCTTTAGCAGTCGAGTGTATATGTTGTGTGTGATCAAGACTGAGTAGCAATGGCTCGAGGAGGTGGATAATGTCATAGTCACAAGTAGCAAGTCAACTGTTTATTCTGCACCATCCATCTAAGTGGGAGTTTCTGTCAAGGTAGGCGTGTTCACATCACGCCCAGATCACTAATGTGGCAAGAGGGGTTATCAGCAATTTCAACATTCATTTATGAAAGGGTACTCAGACATAGAATGGAGTTAACATGTCTTATATACTAGTGAATTGGCATTGTATTTTTATAGTGGTAGACACGCTATACATAATTTTACTTTGTTTTTCTTCTCTCAAATAGCTCAGGGCATAGACACACTGAAGTTAGAAGAAAAAAGTCTTGGAGAGATAGCTTTTTAATTGAAAGAGGGTAATTATATTTTAGACAAGATTTTTTTTGTCACTCGTAACTCAATTTTTTATTTAAAGTTATTTATTACAATGATTTTTTTCTTCCTAGAGTGGTTAATAGCCAAAGAAAAAACAGAAATCTTTATCCTAATATCTCACCTAATCTCCCAAAACTCACAAAAGATCAGCGATTAGGAATTGAATGCAGAAAACCCCACTATTCATCTCCCTGCAAGTTACATCAGGTAAAAATCGTTTAACTTAAGGTTTTCTCTCTATTATTTTACTTAATGAAATTTAAGATAATCCACTAGCTACCTTACAAACTGGCAACTGGATCTAGAAAATTTAAAAAATATAATGCATTATTTTATTAGAAATTAATGAATTATTTCTGAATAATTATTTTATTAGAAATGGGAGTGCATCCATGATGGGACTCGATGGCGGATACAGAAATGCAGATTGCATTTTGGATTTCCTAATCAGTGTATCTGTCCTGATTCAGATGGAGAAGACAGCAGCAGTTGGGATTTTACGGAGTATCGTAAAAGACCCGATGCAGTTCTCAAAGCTGCAAAGAGGAGGAAACATTTGGATCAAGATATAGAAGAATTGAACAAATTTTTTGCTACCCCAGGTATTTTCATTCATTTAATTCAGTCATTCACTCTTTTTCAAACACCAGTGTTGATCACTTTCTCTATTGTTATGTGACTTTTGATGTTAAATTCTCCATACTTTGTTATTGTGAATCCATAGCATAAGACATAATCACCAATGTTGAACAATTTATCTTGAAAACTAGTATGTAGCTTTTAATGGTGAATTGTGAGTTTGGAACATAAACAATTAAAATTCTAAGTGTTATATCAAGTTAAGGAATCTTGATCCATAGCATAAGACATAACCACCAATGTTGAACAATTTATCTTGAAAACTAATATGTAGCTTTTAATGGTGGATTGTGAGTTTGGAAAATAGAAAATTAAAATTCTAAGTGTTGTATCAAGTTAAAGAATCCTGATTTTTTATGCCTATAAGTTTACTTGAATGTTTGAGCAAAATATAAATTATACTTTTACACAAGTAATCATATTTTCTGTTCAAAATATCTAATCTTAAAGTTATGTCATTTTATTAAACATAAGCTTCAATATTAAATTTAGTTTATATAATTTTAATATTTTAGATAAAACATACAATCTTAATTTTTTTAGATGTTATTTAGCAAATTTAGGTTTTTAATAATTATAGCTAGTATTTTGTGTTTCTTAAATGAACAAAAATATTTCTTTTCAAAATGATTTATAAATTCAGGAAAATAGCAGGTGTTCTTTTTATAGTTTTTGCTTAATTTTAATTAATGATATTTATAATTAAGAATTACACTGCATTCTGTACAAATCCACAAATATAAACTTTCATATATTTTTTTATGTTTAAAAAAATAACGTCTAGCTCATAGGGCTGTGATATTAGCTAAAGCAAATATACTGCCATATTTTTCCATATCTCCTGCTTCTAAACATCAGAGACTCCCTGAACCTGTCATGTAATCTCTCTCTTTCAACCATTTTGGTAGAAATAAAGAGGCATCGTGTGACAGTTGAGATGAGTAGTTGAAATGAGTTCTCAGTTTTATGTTTTCAAAGATGGCAACTGCTTCAGATTCGATAAAATATTTAAAAAAATTGGTTGAGAACAACAAGCTAAAATTTGCACATTTTCGGATAATTTTGTAAACTTTTTAAAAGATTCAACACCATTTAGCTGCAACAAAGTGGCGTATCACATAAGCATTTTGAAGCACATAATTATTTAGAAGTTGTGGTGAATAAGCAGCCTATAAATCAAATTAACTTAACCGAAAATCATACCTTAAAAAACTGCCACTCGAAAATATTTATCCGCTGTCTGCAATTGTAATTACAGATATTGATTAAATAATTCAATGAAACCTATAAAGTTCTTCTTTTAGAAAGTTTTCTTTATATTAGAATACACCTCAGTGAAAAATACTTCAAGATTTTCATTATGTTCATTTTCTTCCATTGAAATGATAAGTAGAAACGGAAGTTGCTAAATTTTCCCCTCAGATTGCTCACTTGTCAAGAGGTTTCATTATTAAGACAAAAATAAACTTGTCCGCTCTACCTCTATGCCTGCTCTATGCTCTCTTATTCATCTAAAAAGTTTGTCATTTGTAGTTAATAAATCACATACATTAGTTCTTATGGCAAGGACATAAAAATATTTGAAATTCAGTTTGTTATTCATTAGTATATTATTTTGCATTAAGTGTGAAACATTATTTTTTGAAATTTCATTTTAGACTCAAAATTGTCAACCAAGTCTAGATGGAAGCGATTTGTAATTTCTGATGAATTTGATGTTAAAGGAATAGAACAGCTGTTTCTTTTACTCGATGCTACTGTTGGAAACAAAACAGAAGTGAGGAATTGTTCTTTATTTATGACTGAGAGAATTTAGATCTATAATTATGCCTAAATAAAAAGCCATTTTCTTAGCTTAAGTATCATATAAAGTATCTGTACCATGCACAAAGTAAAAAGGAACTCCTTAATAACTCTACTAATCAGATTTTCAACAGAGTTATAAGTCTACTGATCAGATTTTCAGTACTAAGATGCATTGTCAAAGGTCTAAATTAAAATATGTAAATTAATTTGTGTAGATGATACTCTAAGTCATAAAAATTAAATGTGAAAGCATACTTTCTCTAACTAAACTTACTTATTACAATGGATTTGGATTTTTTACTCTTAAGCATTGGGGTTAGGGGTATCTCAAATATATAGACCTAATAGTTTTTCAAAGAGATTCATTAACAGCTTCGTAGTGTTATTTTCTATTTCTCTCTTTTCTCTAATATACAACTGTGAAATTAAAATAAGATGACTAAAGAATTAATTGAAACAAATATTATAAATGTTTTCCGTAGATATATTCTAGTAAAATATAGTTGTTTATAATTGTGAATGACTTAATAATTTTTGGACAATTATGAAAAATAATGAGCCATAAAAATGTGAACCTCAATTTTATTGCATAATTTTAGATGAAAAAAATCTGAACAAAATTGATTTTATAGTTTTTTTAGAAATGAAAATGTAAAATATGATTTTCTGCTCATATTTCACACCAGAAATTTTTGACCATTATTAAAATGATGCATAAAAATAATAGGTTATCTAAAAAGCTATGTTTTACATAAAATTTAGCTCCTTAATTGTGTCCACTTTTTTGTTATTTTTTAAATACCTTTAAAAATATAGCCGTATACAAAAAGGGGAAAATAACTCTTAAGAACCTCAAATTTTGACCACTTTTTCTCTAAACTATTGGAACCATTTGCTATAAATTGTTGCCACTTCGTGGAAGAAAGAATCTAACTTTTTTTATGCAAAATTAAAAGGGAACATATTAAATTTGAATTAACAAAAATATTTATTTTATTAATTATTATTTTTTAAATCACTGATACTGAAACTTTAATGATTTTAAGTATTGTAGTTTAAATTAATTTTATGTATAATTCAATCTGTTGTAAAGGAAAGTAAAATTTAATAACTTAATACTATTGCATAAGCATGTTGAATACCTTTCTAATAAGTCGGCTGGTGTATCCTTGGTTGTTAGTTTGATAATAACATATTTTTTCTTCTTCTTTACTTTCTAATGTTGCTTCAATTCAAACTGAAAATAATTTTTGCATGCATTGCATTGTAGGACACCATTTCATCGTTGCATAACAAGGTTGAAAACAGTAAACTCCTTCTGCCTGAATTAGATCTTACCACTGAGACTCCAGTTCTCGAAGACAGAGAAAAGCGAGAAACAACTCCTACATTTCAACTAGGAATCTCAAATGAATGTGTCTACCTGGCTAATGGCAGCCGTGCTTGCTTTGATGAAAAATTTCAAACGCCAAGCCAATGGCATGAGAGGAAAGAAAAACTGGATGGCATGATTAAGAAATTGAAACAGAAACTTGAGGAATTGAAGGTTCATATGCTTTTTATTTATTTTGCCTACATTACTTATGCTAATAAAATAAAGCTGCTTGCTACTGTACATTATATTTGTTCATCCGTTGTAATGTAATTACAAATGCATTAAATTCAATGAAAGTTCTCAATATTTTAACCATAGAATCTGTGAGGCTAAAATTAAATTCAAACAAACTTATGTTTTTTATACTTATATGTTTAACAATAAAATGAAAGAAATTCTCAATAAAAAGAAAGAAAAATATGTTCAACACATTCATATTAACATTAAACATGCTGGTCAAATTATCGTTTAAAAACTTTTTAATTGAAAATGCGCTTACTTATCGTTTTTGCACATTTGACTTCATGACTTTTTATAACCATTATATACAGTTAATATTCTATTATTCTTTTTTTGTATTTTGTTTATTTCCAATAATACTTGTCGTATACCTATTTCTACTACAACCGGTTGTTTGACCGGGAGAACAGTTTATGGCTTCATAAGGTTAGGAAATTATGATGTAATGCGTGTTCAACTTATTGCATTTGATTAGTTGCATATTTCTGCAAAGACTGTTGCATAGTTAGTTCAATGAGAATAACTGTGAATTGAAATTTTAAGAAGGTGCCTAAAATTTTAGATTGGCATTTTTGTGTAAGAAAAAGTAACAAAGACTAAATGTTTTGGTAAGTAGCTTATATTTTATTTTGATAGCTTTACTTCATTTCAACTGTTAGTTTTTACCCAGAAAAATGTCGAAACAATCAAGACAGCACAAGTTATTTGAAGAAATAATATTAATTATAAGAATTATAATTCTCATAATTATAAGAATTATCAAAATAATAATAGTTAGATGAAATATGTTTGCGGGAAATGTACAATGGAATCTACATGTATATGTTAAAAATGCATTGAGCAGTGAATTAAAAATTCTTATTCTTTCTGTTTGTAATGCATAAAAAATAGGTCATTTGACTGGCTATGGTAGAAATAGGTATATATTAAGTGTTGGTATGTTTAGTGTTTACAAAATAAATGTGTTGTCAAAACAAATAAATGTGTTGTCAAAGCAAATAACTATTTTTATTTTCTTATAATCTTTTTTTCTTTGTCTTCCTTTATTATTGACAAGCAGCTTGACTTGGTTCTGTAGAACTATTTTTTTTATAAGAACATGCAGTATTTGATACCATTATGCTCTTATAATATGCAGCATGTCTCTGAAATAATTTATTGCCTTGCAAAATAATGAAATTCCAATATCAGTGTATTAAAATGGGGAAATAACAATTTTTTTACTAACTAAGTAGCTGAAAGCAAAAATATACTAATGTAATCATTAAAAACATAATATTATAACTCTTTAGTGACATGATTATTCAAAAATATTTAAATTATTTGTTTTACTGAGCTTTATTTGAAATAATTTGGTTTTGTTCTTGAGATTTAAGTAATTATATCATGACTTGAAAGTTCCTTCTATTTTTGTGTTTTCAGACAATTCGAAAACAGTTGAAGAAGGCTAAGCCTCACAAAAATAATGTTGGCTCAGAAATTTATGATCCACACTCTTTCCAGAAGGGATGTATATGTGATCCGGAAGACCAAATACAATTAAGGTAATTAAAAAATTATTTAAAAAAAGTTGCCTTGTAGGGGAGAGTCGGATAGCTCCTCCCACTTAAGGAGTATTGCTTATATTTTAGTATAATATTGAGTAATAATCAATATTTTAGTATGTTTCTATAGTTTTACCGTCTAATTAAATAATGCAAAAAGAATAAACCAAAAAAAGTATAGTTTAACTTAAAAAAATAGAAATTTAAAAAAACATGTTTTTCATCTCTTTTCAAAATGTGTCGGGTAGCCCCACCCAGTTACAAAAATTGGGATTTTTGACTGTTTTTTCAGGTGTAAATGAAAGTGACCAATGTATTGACAATAGATACACAAAATTATTTTATTTATTACATATTTATATACTTTTAGTGAATTCTATAATTTGATAACAACAATATTTGTTGTTAAAAATGCATATAACATTAAAGTTTGAAGCAATAAAATAATAATCTTTGCAACCGTACATTTATCGATGAAATAAAATTGGGCGGTGATACCCGACATTCATGTGAGCGGGGCTTCCCAAAATCTAATTTTTTTGTAAATTTGTAATTACTCGAANGGCTAAAGCTCTTAACGTGAGTCAGCAAGTTGTAAGCTATCAACTAAAACAAAAGTTTAAGAAAAAATGCCATAAAAAACCTAAATGTCATCATTTAAGTGAGAGGTTGGTGCAGATTAGGAGGCAACGTTCATGGCCCCTCTAAAAGCTTCTCCGTAAGGACAGATGGCGAAAGTTCATTACAACTGATGGATCTATCTATCTGATACCAATGCTAAATCTAAAGTTCAATATCTTAGCCGTGGGCAGAACAGGCGAGACTTGACACCATCAACCACAGTGCCTCATCCCAAAGGCGTTGTTCCATCAGGACTCTGCCCCATCGCATGCATCTAAGGTCACCCAGAAATTCCTAACAGATCAGCAAGCACAATTCCTGAGACCAGAGCAATGGGTTCCAAGCAGTCCTGATGCTGCACCATGCGACTATTTTCTATGGGGACATTTGAAAAACAAACTGAATAAGCGAAGAATTTCTACATTGAGAGGCCTTCAAAGAGCTATTAGAGAAGAGGTGAAGAAAATCCCCCATTTGCGGGCTTTAAAATCATGGCCGAAGCGTTATAGACAAATTTATTATGCCGGAGGACGACATATTGAGAAGCATCGCTGAATTTATGTAATAAATTTTGGAAATAAAAACATTCAGAAGTGATCCCTATACTTTTTTGTTACCCTGTAGACTACTGATCCCTGCCAGCTTGAGATTTCCCTATTGCACATACGCTACATTACTTACAGTACTAGTAAAATGAGTTATCCAAAAACGATAAACACTTCGCCATTTTTTCTATCACGGTCATCGAACTGTTGAATGCTTAGTCCCATTAAAATAAAGATTGAAGATTTGAATATTGGATAGCCCACAGAAGCCTCTATTAAAAGCCTGGTGAGCAAACACAAAATTTGTAAGTTCTGTCCACGTAAGAAACACAGAATGACAAAATACACATGCAACTAGGCCATTTGTGATTAGCACATATTTAACACCTGCCAAGAGTGCAAACAATAATTTTTACCATATTTATATTTTTTAATTGAAATGTTATAATTCTTTTAATTATGTTAATTTGTTAGAAATAAATAAGGAAAATATATACTTGTTTTGAATGCTTAATCTATTTGTCGAATTATAAGTTTAGTTATTTAGGGTTAGAACATATGTAAACTGTATTTTAAATTATTGTTATTTTTCGTAATAAATAAGTATTCAATGGTTTGAATATCAAATGTTCCCATACTTCATGTTTGTATTCCGCTACCTTTTGGCACTAAAATACTTTCTTTTATACTTATTTACTTTATTTTATAACCGTCATTGCACAGACGACCCAAATTCGGGTTTGTTTACGACTACCAATGCTCAACTCCGTAGCCTTATAATTTTGAACCCAATCCCTTTTCCACTTCTGATTGAACTAACCTGCACTTGTGTTACATAGAGAGGAATAATTCCCGCAGTTAGCTTGATGGCAAGGCCTCTAACCCATGATCCAACTTACCACTGAGGATATTTTACATAAGCACTATGGTCGGTGCGAGCCGGGTGCTAACTAAAATACCTTTTATCAATTGCAGCTTTAGGTTCAAACTCTGTTAGGATCTATTTATAGAAATTCATATCAAACCAATTACGAATTCTGCAGCTTTTAAGGAATGTCAATGCTGTATCACGATCTATTGCATGTGAACATAAACTCTTGGGAAAATAAATTCATTTGAAAGACAGCATTTTATAAGACAAAACTTACTTGTTAAATATTTGGTTTATTAATGTTTTGTTGCAATATAAAAGGTGATAGAAAACAATGATAATTCTAAAGCTTTTTTTTTTTTTACAATATTACCGTTAACAAATAAATTACTCGAGTATTATTTTTAATGAATATTAACAAAGCTGCCCTTACAGGATTTCATTTACATTCAGGTAATTTATACCAATATTAGTTACAAGTAGGCTTTAATATTTATTTTTGTTTAATAAATTAAATTTAAAAATATTTTTAGCCAATATTCATGGATAAAATTTTTTTTAACAATTTCGCTTTTAACAAATTAAGGATATCGAATATTATATGTTTTCCTTTCATTCAAAATTTATAAACAAATTAAAATAAACCAGTTATATATTTGTTTTGTTTATTTTGCTTTACATAAAAAAGGGCTACATTTCAATTCGAAAAAATATTTTTATTCAAACTAAAAGTTTTTCAAATTTGAAAATTAGCAGGTAATCATAATAAAAATTGTTTAAACTGAAATTTAGCTTTATTTTAATTTTGAAATTCTCTCATTTGCTCGAAATACTAAGCTACTTAAGTTTTTGTTTCTTTCCTGATTTATTTTATTGTAAGTATTTAAAAAAAAAGAAGAAAACAATTGATTTTACGTACACAACAGATTAATTTTTTGTGCATATAAAAAGAGTAGCTGAATTCTTATTATCATTTTTCATTGATGCTATTAGAAATGTATAAAATGATTCAAACAAAATTTTTTAACACAGACAACAGTTAAAAGATGAAAGACGCTTACGAAGAGAGGACCTCAAAAAAGAGCGCCAATTAAGAAAAGAAGAGCATATGAAAAAACTTGAAAGAAAGATGCGTAGAAAGTCAAAGTTTGAAAACATGACGTGCAATGCTGAGAAAATGAATTGCTTTACTCAAGACAATAACCATTGGAAAACACCACCTCTTTGGACTGGTAAGATTTAATCAAAATTTTCATGAATATTAGAGGGTGCGTAGCATCTCTAAAAAATGCTTAAATGCGCTTATTTTTGATTTACGTTTTTTAAAAGCCCTTAAAGGTGTTTTTTTCATTGGGGGTTTGTAAAAAGTGCTTAATTTTACATATTTCAAAATAAGTATTTTTCGTTTGTCGTGTCAATCGTCGTCATAAATTACAAAAAAAGCATAATTTTCACAATTTTTTCTGCAATATTTATCAGAAACTAGTTGCTTTATCATGATTATGTAGTCTTTGAAAAATATTTTTTGTATTTTATTGATTTTATGCAGATAAATGAAGAACTTCACACAATATGAAGAAATAATTTTTATTACTGCACATGTCCTGATTAAGATTTTTTTTTTTATAAGTGATTAAAAATATTTTTTGAATTCTTAAAAGGTGCTTATTTTTTGTTGAAAAGGCTGGCTAAGTACCCTGTTAAATTGTTTAAAATTAAGTATTATAATTTTTATTATTACATTTAAGCATTATAATTTACAATAAAAATTGGTTCAAATGAATTATTACTGGTAATTTTTTACCTTTTATATTTGATACACTGACGAGAAAAAAAAAATCAAAATATCTAGTATTTGTTCATAAACTTGAGTTGAAGTATAAGTTGTGGAACTTGTGATTTATAAATTTTTATAGTTTATTTATCTGTAATCTAGCTGAAACTTATTTTAAAGTGAAATCTCTGGCTTTTGTTTTTTGAGAATAATGAAATCGTAATTTATATGTTTAGATATATTCTTTTTCTCCTGTAAAATTTAGATGCAAATTAGATTTTTTGAACCATTTTATACTTATTAAATACAACATGATATTTTTACTGCATTTATATTTTTTTACTTCCAGATGGCCCTTTCTGTTTCTGTCAGAATTCAAACAACAATACATTTTGGTGTTTAAGGACTATTAATGATACCCACAACTTCTTGTATTGCGAATTTGTCACTGGATTTATTACATTCTATGATTTGAGAACCGATCCTTACCAAGTAAGATCTTGCATATTTCGAAAACAATTGTTTTTTCTTTTTATACTATTACTCTCAAATATTGATGTTTTGTTGTCGTCTAGATGAGAAATGCAGTTTATGACCTTGACTATGCCACGTTAGAACGGCTACGAATGAATTTGAATAAATTGAGAAGTTGCAAAGGGGCCAAAGAATGCACCATTAGAAATAGATACGAAGGTAATTTGTTTATTTATTATAGTAAATATCTTGCAGCTCGCATTGATTAGTGGTGCTAATTCATATTTTTATTGATAGATACAAAATATTATATTTTTAAAAAATCATTATACTTATCAAAATTTGAAAAAATAACCATTTTGTTAATTATTTTCTTTAAAGGTTTTTGTATTTGTATCTATAGTAATTAAAGCTTCCCTTTTGTCACTTTTTTGACTTCTTAGTGAAGGAACTAGTATTTTTTAAAGCATTTACTAATTTTGCTCAATTTGATTTACATTTATTTGCAAATGTGGTATATTTTGGGTGCTCAGCTTTTTACTGGAGGAAACGTCAGAAAAGTTTTTATTAGCTTTTGAGGGCTCCAATGGGTTTTTATATCAAGTGATAGCTTCATTATTCCTTAATGATAGAAATAATGTGAATTAATTTTAAATTAAAAGGTAAAGTGCATTATTTATTATAATTTAAATTAAAAGCATGAAGCAGGGTTCGTACAGACTCCATATACTCCTTAGAAACTCCTTGGAAATAAAAGTCTCCAAGGAGTACTTGGAACTACTTAGATTTCCAAAATTAGTCCTTAGAAACTCCTTAGATTATTGCATTGCATAGATGAACTTACTAAGTCCGCTTATGAATTTGCTGTCAAAATCTAATAATTTAAGAAAAATTAAAAAAAAAAAAAAATTAATTGCAAGAGTTAGATGAAGAAAATGACTGCAAATAATTTTAATTCAACATGTTAAAAGCAAACTTAATTAATGATTTACTGTGATTTTTTTTTTTTGCATAAAATGCCCTAGATTTTCTTATGTATTCAAATTTAAAAATATAAGATTGGTAGGTTTTTATGTTAATCTTTAACATCTATACTATGTACTTTAACCCTTTGTATCACCGCGTTGCATATCTGCAACATACATGAAAATTCAATCCTATAATGAGCTGGATTTACCTATAAAATCGAACCAAATTCAGATAAAGAAAATATTGCAAATTCGGGGGAACCAAGTCTTGGTGCAGTTACCAATATTATAATGCGTTTAGCAATAATTATTCCACAACATAATTGCAGGATATACAATTTTTTTACAACAATCCCCTTGATTGTATATTTGGTTAAGGAGGGATTGAAAAATGTGGTGTGAGACTTTGTTACCATAAAAACAACAATTTCAAAATTTTTCACATGAAGTTATAAATATATTTGAATTTTTGTGATATTTTTTACGATATTGGAGATGTTCAACAAATACTTTTTATCAATAAATTTTTAATTGTAAGATCTTAATTTTTTCATTATTTTTTACACGCTTAATATAAGCTACAAAGGGTTAACAACATTTATTAAAATATTTGAAACTAGAGAATGTATTTATGTGGGAAAGTGATAATTTTATTTTTCTTGATGAAGTTTGACAAAGTCAAAATTTATATCAAAAGGATTAGAAAAAAATATCTTATGCAAAATATACATTTTTGCAAGTTCTTCATAATAACTGCTTTTTAATTTGAAAAAATTAAAAAAACTGTCTCGTTATTTTTTACACAAAGTTTTTAAATTTTAGACTCCTTGGATTTCTTCTTCTGATCTCTGTTTGAACCCTGATGAAGTTGTGCTCTTAATTTTTGAAAAAATTAATTTTATGATTTACTTAAATTTTACATATCTTTATTTTTCTAAATAAATTTTTTAGCTATATTAGTTTTTTTTTTAACTTTTTCATTAGAAAGTTTTCTATGTTTTATTAGCAATTAAACAATAGAAAATTCTTTTTTTTATTTTATTCAAATTTATGTTTACATTTAAATTTCAAGGGTGGGAAATATAATTCCTGAGGAACCATTTATTTTCGTTAAAAAAAAATTAAAATTTAATGGTGATTATTTGCCAGGAAAAGATTAGAAGCATATTGCAAAGGGTATGCCGTTTGCCACGTTCTGTACACATGTAGTGAAATGTACTACCCAAATCAAACCCAATAAAAAATTAATACAATTGAATTCTAATGTTCTAATTCTATTAAATTGATCACTAAATTTCAGTACAAAACTGAACCAGGAATTAATGTTCCCATCAGTCATAATGTTCCCAGAAATTAATAACAAGGCCAATTCATCACAATAGATTTTGTCCACAGGTATGTTTTGTAAGATCAGAGAGGTCAGAAGAATCTTTCTCAAGGCTGACGAAAAGTTTAAAGAATAATTTTTAAAAATGAAAGTTGAAATTTCTAAAGATTAAAATAAATTAATACCTTGGCATTTTAACATATCTTAGCATACCAGAACTCAATATTAATCCTTAGAACACTTGACTTCAATATGCTGATTAGTTACATTTTGGCATTTTTTGTCAATCCTAATTGTGATAACTTTTCTTATATATTGACTGTAATACTGTGACATAAAATATCTTAAATCTTAGAAGTTTTATTGTTTTCTCTTTGGTTCAATTTCAAGTCAAAGTAATCTATCTTGTATGACAATATAAAAATATTTTTATCAGTTTCAAATGATTTTTAAAGAAATGATCTAAAAGATAACAGGGGTGATTGTGCTCCTGAAAAAATCCGGATTTCCGGAATTTTCGCTAACAGTGATCTGGAAGTTTCCGGAGATCGAAGGTCAAGACGCTTCAAAATATCATTTATCACAGAAGTTTCCGGAAATCAAATTTTCAAAGGTGGAACTTAAAAACACAGTTTATTTTATTTGCTTGTAAGGGAGAGCCAGAGAGATACTTTATAAGCTTATATTCATGATTAATATTCATTTTTTATCAGTAAATAGTTGTTATAATCATAAACTCAAGAAAGACATATTTGTAAATTTTAATTACTTCTCCAGGTCATGTTTAAATGGTAAAGGTATGTGTAAAATTTTAAATATATTTTAAGTAAACTAAGAAATATAGGAAAAAACCTTGTTTAAATTTTTTTCAACTGTTTTTTTTTGTGTTTTTTAACTCAAGAAATTTTTCGGATTTTTGACTTGGGCTCACAATCACCCCTGAGATAAGTAATTCCTTAAAAGAATTCTAAACACAAATGTATTTTAAAGGGCCGACCTGACTGTGTAGTGGTCAGGGAGCTGACCTCACATCAGAAAGGGCTTGGACTTGATTCCCAGACAAGGCATGGATGTTCTTTCATCCTCTGTACTATCTGTCCTTACGGTTTGAACAACGTTGGCCCACCTAATTAGGTGCCCCTGAAAGAGTGGCTAACAAACTTGCCCTACTGAAATCTGAATGTCAATCAGGTGGGCATTGGAAAAATACATCTGTATATAAGTTTTTTAAAGGCAGCTATTACATTTGATATGAAACTCAAAACTTATTTTATTTTTAAATAAAGAATCTTATAGTTAATAATTAATGTCTATGCAATTTGCAGCATAAAATTAGCAATTAATTGAAAAATTGTGCAATCAATTATGCTTTTTTGTATTTATTATTTCATACATTTTAGGTTCTCGTCATTTAACCCGGCAAAAGTTAGCTCTTTCGCGAAGCAGAGCACTAAGGTAAGACTACATTCTTTACCATTTAATTTGTTATTGTAAATGCAGTATGAAATCATATAAGTTATACATGGTTTGTCTGTAAAGAGGTTCCATCTAAAATTTTTAATGCAAAAAATGCAAAAAAATATTTTATATTTAATTTATTTATTATTCAGGATGGAAGGATTTTAAATCGATATAGCTAACCTAATAAATTTAATTGTTATGTCTTGTAGAAATTGAATTTAAACAGAGTTTATCATGACTAGATAAAAACTTAGGCTCAGTTGTAAATCTTAGGTTAGTTTTTGGTTTATCTTTAGAATATGTTCCCTATTTTAATAATGAAGTGCCTTGAATTTGAAGCAAAACTATATCTTTAAACTATATTTACCATATTGCTGTAAAGAAATATTTGGGCTTTATAATAAACAAATTACTTATTAAAAAGTTCTTTTAAATACTTAATAATATTATATTAGTTCTTTAAAATACTTATTAAAAAGTTTTTTTGAAATTGCCAATTCGGTGGGATGTTTCCACTTAGATGAAAATTTTCAACATTCGTGAAAAATTCTCAATATTTGCAAACGTTGAATGTTCAGATAATACAATGTTGGAGCAACTTTTTAAATATTAAAAAATTAGATTACAAACCCTTTTAATTTTCACAAAACTGTCTCTTCTTCATATTGATGCTTTATACCGTTTTCACAATTAGGATAGAGGGTGATTGCTGAAAATCAAAAATCGTTATATCGTTCTAAAACAGAGCCGTTTGAAAAACATCCTCAATCTATTTGTCCACTTTATTAGCTCAGACAATTTTTTACGGCAAAATGGTATACGTAGTTTAAAATTTTAATTTTGCTTTGAATTCAAGAAACTTCAGTTATGTGCAATAGCTTATCTTCGCTAAAAGACTTCGAAAAGTGCCTTTAATTGCTCACTGTGTGAGGTATATTGAAAATATATTGTAAATTGCATCATTATCTCAATAAATATTGATTTCTGGACACTTAGTCTATGAAATTTTAAAATAGAGTGATATGCATAATATTCAGGAAATTCTCCGAAAGTTTACTTGACTGTACATGAAATTATTTAACAATTTTGAAATACAGTAATCATTCATTTTAGTTTGATTATGCATGAAATAGTTTAACAGTAAGTTTTTGTGGTTCAGTAATGATTAATATTTGAATATTATGTTTTTATTCAAGGCATGGAAGAGGAGATCATAGATGGAATCGCAAGCACAATCCTCACTTGTCAAGTGCAGAAAAACAGGGGTGATTAACTAGATAGACAATCAAACTTTTTAAATAAAATAGTGACAGCCTGTTTTTAGTCATAGTTGTGAAACTTTTTATAAATGTATATCAACATGACAGTCACTGTTAAATACTGTCATGACTGTCACTTTTTAAAGCTTTTACCTCCTAATTTTAACAAAGTTTACAAAAACTGCATCCAGTATTTCAGTAAAAAAGAACATTAGAATTAAATTTTCTAAAATCAACGACTGTTGTAGTTCAGTGATTCATGATCCAATGCTTGTTTAAATCTATTATGTTTTAAAATCCTTCATTTAAAGTAATCATTAGAAAGCGAAATTTAATCCATACCTTTTGTTTACATTGTTATTCTATTACTAAACAGGTGTATTGTATAAATGTAAAGTTATGTAAATCCTTGGTGTACTATTAGATAAGTTTTTAAAAGAATAAGCGAATTTTATTGCTTTTATCAATGTCATTTTGTAATTTTTTTTTATTGTTAGTAATTATAATAATATTTAGATTTATTTGAAAGACGCATCATTAAGTCTGTCTTAGCTTTTTATGATATCACATTGCATGCTCTTTAGATAAATACAATCAATTGTTCAATATGTTTTTAATCTGAAATGGTTATATTACAGAGTGTTCTGTAGTGGCTGCTCCTAATAATGTATTTTTAGAATAATTATTGAAAATGAAGTCTGAAAAGTACATATTAGAGATCATGCATTATTATTTAAGTGAAGAAGAAACTCATTTGAAATGTTTAATCTTAGTTGAATTTACAAAAACCTGTTTGGTTGCTGATTGAGGTTTGATTTTTCTAGTAGTCACCTTTCAATTCATCAGTGTTAATTGACCCATCTTCCTCAATAGTGAGTTCTTAGCATTGTTTTTCTTAGCTTAAATATTATTTAAAAGCATGCATTCCAATCTGCATATTTTTTTTCTTTCATTTTTAAAAGAGTTTTAAAAGTATACCAATTATAAGATCTTCATACCGAACACTCTGGATAAAGCTTTTATTTTTTACTTTATATAATAAATCTAACTTAATCGATTTCAAAATCAGCTCTGCCTATTAATAATTTTTAAGGTCGGCGGGATGAACCTCGTTATACCCAGAGCACTTGTATTAAAATCAACCTATTAGTAAATGCTTTTTGATTTATGTAAATATTTAAAAAAATAAAGTTTGTATATAGTTTTAAAACTACTATTGACTTTACTTTGTAAATGGATTATGTTTGTTTATCTAATTTTTAAAAAGTAATTAATTATTTGTATTATAAAAAGTAATTATTTGTAATTAAAAAACGAATAGTTTATGAACTTAGTTACATTTGTCATCTTAAATGGCAATAGTATTGATAATTGAGAGTAAGATATTTTAGTGCAGTCATTGATGTATTTAGTTAAAAGTAATTTTTAAAAAATTTTATGCCTTTGTAAATTTGTTGAGTAGAATTACTTGCTTTAAAAATATTAATATTCAAAATAGTAAAAGACACTATAGTTTTTTATACAATGCCTGTGCCAAATTTGTAACTTTTAAATCCATTAAGTTTGTTATTAAATTATTACATATTTTAATGAAAATTTTCTAACTTTTGCTGAATTAAAGTTCCTACTGCTTTGCCATATGAATATAAATGTATTTTTAAACGAAGGTCTTAAAAATTTATCTCTTGAAACAATTTATTAATTATTTCAAATAATTTAATGTTCAGTTATTTAATTTTCAAAACTTTATGAAAAAGTATGAATTAACTTAGCTATATATTTGAATTCACGACTTTAAAATTTATTATTCAAAAGTTTTTATTGATTAATTCAAATAATTTGTTATGTGTTGAATTAATATAACAAGAGTTGTTATGTTTGTAGCAAAAAAATATAAATAATTAAACACGTGATTTTGAAAAGGAAGGATATAGTTCATTATTTTATTATGAAAATAATTAAATAACTTTAGATTTAAAATTTTTATAGCAGTTATATTATTTCTGAAATGATGTGCAGGCTAATTTTAATGATATTGTCCGTTTGGCTTTTGGCGAAATTAAATTTTGTTCAGTGTTATTGTTTTAAAAGTGAGTAAAATATTTAAGAGAACATCACTGCCTTTGCTTCAAGTATTTTCTAATTGAAATGAGTTTACTAACTATTATTAGTTAATTATAAAATTATTAATACTTTTTTTACAAGCACTGATTATCCATGCATTTAAACAGCTGTTAGTTAAATATTGTTTCTTTTTTTTTTTTAATTGTAAAAAGAAATAAGGTGTACATTTTTATGAAAAACCTTGAGAATTGGTAGCTATTTTTATTTTATATTAAATTGTTGCTTATGCCGGTAGATTTGTTATAAAATAAGACTTGTTTAATTTTTTTTAATGTACTGTAAATGTGTAATTAAAATATAAGAAATAATTTCTTTTTAACACAATTAAACATTCTATCGAATTTTTCTCTGGTTTAAATCCATGTTGTAATTTTTATTACATTTTTTAAAGATATTATCAATTAACTTTTTATTCATATATTTGTCAGCTTTGAATATAAGTATTGCTAGTGTGTGATATTCTATTAACTGTGATTATTATAGTGGAGAAGTAGTATTTGCTTTATAGTAGATCTGAAAAGAATAACATTAACTTAATGAGTTCAACCTTCTGTTAATTATTTTAATTATATATAAGCGTTTTGTAATTATTAGCTACAAATCTAAAATGAAGAATTAAGCAGCTTTAAAGATTTTTTTTTGTTTAAAATAATTATTTTGGAATTCCTGTGAACAATTAGTATGAATGGTTCACTGAATGTAAACAATAACTAGCTTCCTAAAACTGGTTGAAATTTAGAAAACTTCTGGTGTATCCCTCCGCTTGTTATGCTTACGAGGCGATGTGTGAACAGGCTTAATATTCTAGGAAGTTTTATTATTGTGATTTGTGTTTAAATCAACGCGGAATTTTACCATTCATTAGAGTTTACTGTAATTTATAAATTCTAACAGACGTGAGCCTAAAAGAAATTTAATATCGCAGCATAAATAAAGTGTAAGGTTTACCATGTTTTTAGTTTTATCCATTATTTGGCTATATTGTAAAAAATAGTGCCATTTGTTTTGTTTTGGGTTAGCATCTTAGCAAGCTTGCGGAATTTTCCAAATTCATTTGTTTGATTGAAAGTTAAATTGAAAACTCTACAAGCATAATAATATAGGATGGCGTGTTTTTTCAAGCTTGTGCGTAAAAATCAATCAGAAGTAGTAACCCAGAAGTCTTATGGCAAATTTTAACCGCCCTGCGCCATATGCGCTTAGCTTTACATGGTCAACCATTCACAATTCTTTGAACTGAAAGTGTGATTACATGGTGAAATTTTTAGAATTAAGTTATTATATTTAGTAGTGCCATGAAAAAAAATGTGATTCAATAGTTTTATTGAGGATAAATATTGGTATCTTTAGGTTTTTGTTATATATATTCTTCAATCAGGTGTAACATTTTCCCTACCTGTATTTAATGTGCTCTTTAAATTGTCTGGAAATAAAATGTGCGTCTGCTATTTATAAGCTGCATGTTGTAGATAATGTGTAAACCCGTGAATACTATCTTCCATTTCAAAAAGTTAAGTATCCAATTGCCTTTCAACTTACTGGGTATCCCGAAAAATGACCTACGATTTGAAAACTGGAGGAGATAACGATGTATAGTTTGTTGTGTTCTACTTAAGAATATTTATTTCCACTAAGTTCTTAAATAGATGGCGCTACTGAATAGTGACGAAACAAAGTTTTCATAATAGTTACTCTGAGCGTGTCAAATGTCTTGCAAAAATTATCAATTGGAATAGTCAGATTTACAATTAAAAAATTGCTTTTATAGTTTTCCCAGTTAGCAGTGCCATCTGTTGACATGTTTTGTATTTAATTTTGAAATTTTGTGAGAGTAAAAGGAACTTGTTTCCTAAACACTAGGTAGCAAATCTCCTTTGAGTTTTCAAATTGTTGGTCATTTTTGAAACACCTAGTTCAAAACTGCCAATGTATATAGATTTTAAGTAAAGTGGGCGATTCATGCTCATGGTAGGATAAGAAAGTAGTGCGGTTTGTAATTTTACTTAAAATTTGATATTTTTGTGGGCATTATCAATATGCTTTGTTGATTGAAAATATGCCAAATGTTTGTTAATATTTGTAAGTAGGCTTAATTTATTTGTGTACATACCACTTAGAAAAAAAAAGTGGCATTTGTAATTTTAAACATTTTTCTGTTCATTGGAAAATAAATGCTTTGGTGTTGTAGTGAAGGTGTTCTTATTTTAAATGTACACAGTCAGAAATATTTTGACCAAGTAAACTGCCTCTGTGTTAATTGCATGGATTGTTCATATTTTTATTTGCTATTCTCTCAGTTCGGCTATGCAATTGAAAAACAATGCTAGTGTTTCACTGTAGATTCTGAGAAAAGTAGCTTTACCACTATTTTCTTTCTATTGATAATGCTAAGGGCCGAGATAGCCTGGTTGGTAGGGCACTGGACCCCTGTCCAAGAATTCGCGGGTTCGATCCCCGCCAGCCGAAGATTTCCCGTGTAGTAAATGGTGACTGATGCACGTTAAACCTGTCGAGTCGCAAAGTCCTCCATGTTCCCATAACAAATCATTACCTCTGGGGATACTGATATAGGAGTTCCCTTGTCTTCTAAATTGGTTCAAAAGTACAGGCTATGGAGTTGAGCATTAGTAGTCTTAAACCCATAAAATTGGGTTCGGCTGTTCAATAACAGATATAATATTGATAATGCTATAATAGAATTTCGGAAAACTGATAAAAACAAAATTTTGAAAATAATCTAGTGATATATAGCATAGCATTCAAAAATGTTAAATATGTAAACATCTTTGTTTTTATTTTTTTGTTACTCACATTGATTTAACTATTGCTCGGCGATTCTCAGAAATTTCGCTGCTGTATTTGTCAAATAAATCTGGTAACAATTCAGTCAATTTTGTGTGTTTAAAAATAAACAATGTTCATCAGGCTCAGCTGTTAATCAGATTACCTGTTAATGTGGCTCAGGGAATAGAGCGTTAGCCTTCCAATGAGGTGAACTGGGTTCGAATACCAGCAGTAGCGAATTCCGCACCCGGCTCGCACCAACCACAGTGCTGACGAAAAATATCCTCAGTGGTAGACAGATCATCGGTAAGAGTCCCCTTGCTGTCAGGCTAACCTTGGGAGGTGTTTGTGGTCTTATTTCAACAAGTTTCGTTAATTTCATTCAATTGTAATTATTTTGTTCCACTGTCAAAAAAAATTATTTTGATTTGATTACTGATGCTTATAGCAGCAAATTAAACGAGGTTTATAACTATAATGAGGTTTTTATAAAAACTCATCATCATCATAGTTGGCCAGACTGCCCAATGTGAGCCAATGGCTTCCTCTGAAGATTTCTCCATGACGATTTCTGATTCACCTTTGATCTCCAATTCTTTTCATTAATTGCGAGAAAATCAGACTCCACTGAGTCAGCCCATCTCAACCGCGGCCTTCCCCACCTTCTTGTTCCAGTGGGCCTAAAAAGCAGTATCTTTTTTATTGTATTGTCATCACTCATTCGAATCACGTGGGCCATCCAATTCATTCTATTTACTTTTATGTATTTAATAATATCAGGTTGTTCATAAACAGTCTTGTACAGTTCAAAGTTAAATCTCCTTCTCCAGTTATCGTTTTCATTTACACCACCTAGTATACTCCGCAAAATCTTTCTCTCAAATGTTGCGATATAATTTTCCTCCTGTTTTGACATTTGCCCAAGCCTCAGAAGCGTATGTCAAGACTGGCCGGACTATAGTTTTGTAGATTAAGAATATTTTGTAGGTTAAGAATTTGTAGATTAAGATTTCCTTGTTTTATAAAAACTATTTATTCAAAAAAAGTAGGCATATTTTATGATTTTTTTATATTTGCATTAAGAATAAATAATATTTTTTTCAAATATCATCTATTTTTACTTTTTTAAAAAAAAGGAATTTACGAGGCCACTAGTATCAAGTACTTACTACGGAGAGTATAAAGTTAAAAGAAATCAAAAACATAATCAATGATAGCTCTATTTCTCAATTGTCATCTTAAATAATCTTTTAGTTCACGTGCAAGAAAGCGAACGTTAGGATTTGATTAAAAAAAAATGTTTAGAGTGCATTAATAAGAAACAACAAGTAATTTAAAATAAAATATTTTTTATTTCATTTTTTGCTCTCTTATAGACTTGTCTGCTTTCTAATAAATAGATGTATCTAATTTTTGAGTCGTGGTGGCTCAGGGGATAGAGCGTTCGCCTTCCAATCAAGTGAACCGGGTTCGAATCCCAGCGATGGCTGTTCAATACGAATTCTGCACCCGATCACAGTGCTGCCTTAAAATATTCTCAGTAGTAGACGGATCATGGGTTAGACTCACCTTGCCTTCAGGCTCACTGTGAGAGGTTTCGTGGTTTTCCTCTCCATGTAACGTAAATGCGGATTAGTTCCATCAAAAAGTCCTTCACGAAGGCAAATTTCTCCCGATACTTGATCCATGAGTTCCCTTGTCTTCTGAATTGAGTTCAAAATTATAAGGCTACGGAGTTGAACATAAGCAGATATAACCCCAAAAATTCGGTCGACTGTTCAACGACGGTTATAAAATGCTCATTAATTTCAATAACAAATATTGCAGGAACTAAGACTAAAACTATTTCCTAATTTTTGTGACGTAAAGTACTTTAAAAAAAAAATACAAAATTTCGACTAAATGTAAAGTTTTTTTTTTTTTTTTTTTTTTTTCCAATGAGCTGCACAATCAGTCTTGCCGATGAGCAGACCTAGTGCGTTCTCCAGAGGTGGTATCCACTCTTTCAGGACCACCACAATGGGTTAGATACCGTTGGTCATGTTAATTTGGACGTCTAGTTACTGCCACACTAGATGGCAGCACCAAGACTATTTCTAAATGTAAAGTTTAATGACACAATTTTAAATAACAGCTATCTTGTGCTGAATGAGTAAAAAAAATAATTCTAATGACATAATTAAATGGTGTGAGAAACTATGCCTGATGTAAAAATAACAAAATAGTTAAGAGAGAATGTTGAAAAGTCGAAAAATTACTATAGAACATCAGGAATTCTGTTTGAAATCTAAAGAAGAAGAAAAAAGAATTTTAACCGTTTCAGCACTCTTTTTAAAAATTGAACCCTTTTCCGAAAAAGGAACGAACATTTTTAAGCACCCCCTATTCTTTGTAGACTACGACTAGGTCCGTTCATAGCGATTTAGCTAGCATAGCTGGTTTACGGGTAGGGGTTTCATAGCAATTTTGTACTAAATTAAATGACTGGACCAGGTCCGTTAGGGTATTTGTTGAGTTCTATGATTTTTTTTTTGTAAAGAAACTTAACTTAATAAAAACTTAAAAGCAGGCATTTTAGCTTATTCATCATTTCTTCTTAATAATTCGTTAAAAACTTTTTTTTAAAATAATTTTTGTCCGAAACATGCATATTTGAGAAACATTCATTTTACAAATAAAGACAAATTCAGTTGTTTGTATAACATAACAAAACTATCAATTGAAATATATTCATAATTTTCTGTCACCTTGGGCTTGTTTCTTTTCAAATTAATGAGGATTCTGAGACCCAGGTGCACTCATAGAGTTGAAATACTATTCCTACTATTCTCCTACTATTTCAACTCTATGGGTGCACTATACTGCCGTGCGAATGAAGAAAAAAAAACCTAAGTGCTTTCAGTCTAGATTTTAGGAAAAGCAGCTTGATAACGATTTTCTTTCTATTGTAATATAGAATTTAAAAAAATTGATAAAACAAAATTTATATTAAAAAAATATTTTTTTGTGCAATATGTACAGGGATGCCAACTACAACTCTTTTTGAAAAATATTTTACGGAATGGTAAACAATTGAAAACTATAGCTTCCACATTTTCCATAATTTTGCCAGCAAAAAGAGCTTCGACGCTGGAGAACAGAAACAAAATGGCGTTTCCTTTAAACTTTTGAATCATTTAATTGTTGAAGTGTGGAGAAAAAAAGACTTTAAAGCAAAACGAAGAATTATATGTTAGAACATAAACTTGGGTACCACTAAGAGGAAGTTTTCTCCGAAAGCTTAGAAAGTTGGCAGCTTTGTAAGTAACTTTGCAGATAAAGATGCCAGATATATAAAAATCTAAATTTTGAATTTATTTGTTGCTTACGTTGGTTGGTCAGTTTTTTTTATTTATTTATTTTTTTTTATCTTGCGCGCTGGACAGAGCTCAAAATACACAAAACGGACCACACTCCATAACTTTTTATCGAATGATCGGATGTTCAAGTTTTACACCTCGAATCTTAATGGTTAGTATAAACGATATCTTAAGCTACGAAATCAGACACAAAAACGTATATTTTTCTTAATAGACACACCTTTTTTTCAATGGATTTGAATTTCTGAATCCAAAATATATGGGATAGCGCAATTTTGGAGATAAGGTCCTTATAGTTTAGTCAGGAGAGCGGGCTAAAGTTTGGATCCCTCAATGTTAATTTTATTTTCTGCGTTTCTCGCCATATATCGACGAATTTTTAAGTGAATTGAAAATTTTTGCACACAATTATGAAATTTGTTTAGTCACAGATAATTCCATGCAAAAATAAATTTTAGTGAGTATTTATTGTTTTATTTTATACTGGTCGAAAAAGTTTTGAATTGTAAGGTATACAATTTTTTACATCATATTAACAAAAGTATTTTTACATTGCAAAATACAAAATTTGAGCAAAACAGGTCGAATAGTTTCTGAGAAATCAAATTTTCAAAATACGACTTTTGCAATATATTNGGATTGGTTCAAAAGTACAGGCTACGGAGTTGAGCATTAGTAGTCTTAAACCCAAAATTGGGTTGGCTGTTCAATAACGGATATAATATTGATAATGCTATAATAGAATTTCGGAAAACTGATAAAAACAAAATTTTGAAAATAATCTAGTGATATATAGCATAGCATTCAAAAATGTTAAATATGTAAACATCTTTGTTTTTATTTTTTTGTTACTCACATTGATTTTACTATTGCTTGGCGATTCTCAGAAATTTCGCTGCTGTATTTGTCAAATAAATCTGATAACAATTCAGTTAATTTTGTGTGTTTGAAAATAAACAATGTCCATTAGGCTCAGCTGTTCATCAGATTACCTGTTAATGTGGCTCAGGGAATAGAGCGTTAGCCTTCTAATGAGGTGAACCG